CTGACCTGTGTGTGAGAAACAAATGTGACATTCTTTGCCTTCAGGAGACACACCGCGGACCTTCACGCAATCGCCCACAATTCCCCGGAATGACCCTTATAGCAAAGAGACCACATCATCTATACGGTAGTGCGATTTTTGTACGTAATGGGCTAACTGTGGATAAGTCTTCTCTATCAGACGATGCTAACATTGAAGCTCTTACCATCGAGCTCCTGGGGATTTCTGTCAGCTCTGTCTATAAACCGCTACTTGAGATATTTGACCTTCCTCGCGAGGTTACTAATGGCCGTATCAATGTGGTTATAGGAGATTTCAATAGCCATAATGTTACCTGGGGATATGCAGAAACAGACAAAGATGGTGCACTTGTGGAAAGCTGGTTAGATGTGAATCAGCTGTCGCTTGTACATGACGCAAAGCTCCCTTGCTCTTTCAACAGTTCCAGATGGAGGCGTGGATACAACCCTGACCTGGTGTTTGTTTCCACCACCATTGCTGGCCAATGGGAGAAAGTTGTCCTGGACCGAATACCACACTCCCAACACCGGCCCATTGGGCTTAAAGTTAACGCCGTAGTTACACCTCGATCGGTACCTTTCCGCCGACGTTTCAACCTGAAGAAGGCTAATTGGGAAAAATTTGCTAAAGAACCCGATGATGCAGTCCGGCACCTGCCTGCTCCACCTACTAACTATGACACCTTCGTAAAGATGATCAAAAAATCATCTAGGAACAACATGCCTCGAGGATGCTGCACAAGTTATATCCCACGTCTGACGGGTGACTCCGAAGCACCTTTTGAAGACTATGTAAACTATTTTCAGAGTGATCCGTTCGGTAACCACACGCTTGACTCTGGTGAGAGACTAACTGAAGCCATAGCAGAAGGCAGACGGAGGAAATGGCAGGAACTCATCCAGTCCACAAACATGACCCATAGTAGTAGAAAAGCGTGGAAGACAATTCGGATGCTAGGAAACGACCTCTCTAAAGTACAGCCAAGACCAGAAGTGACTGCTGACCAGGTTGCTCATCAACTCCTTGTGAACAGCCAGGGACACCATAATCATCATCCCAGTAGGGCCAAACTACCAAAGGCTCAATGTACTACACAAGAGAACCAAGACCTTTCAATATGAGCGAACTGACTAAGGGTATCAAATTGATGAAAAATAATAAAGCTGCCGGACTTGACGATATTTTGTGTGAGCAGATCAAGCATCTCG